GAAGCTTCCCGCAAGGAGGGCGTCCCTAAATAGACTTAGCAAGAATTCATTTAGTGAGCATTCAAAGTTACAACTGGCATAGGGCAAAAAGGGGACTTATGACTGGTTCCCCCCCCCCACATTGCAGTTCATTCCCCATGGCCACCTGATTAAAATTCAGATGCTTGGCAACTGGCTCGGAGTTATGACGGTCGCAGTGATCAGCTTTTGTGACCTTTGGACAAGCAAAGTCAACGGGGGAGGCCAGATTCGCTTAACAACCCTGTGATTAATTTAACAGCCTCAGTGATTCACTTGGTCGCAAAAGGAGGATCGCGAGACCTTGGGATACAAAAACGGTCATAAGTATGAACCAGTTTCCAAGCCTCTGAATTTGCATCATGTGATCACGGGGACGCTACGAAGTCGTTAAGTGTGAAAACTGGTCATAAATCAGCTTTTTTTCCAGTGCTGTTGTAACTTTGAATGGTCACTAAATGAACGGTTGTAAGTCGAGAACCACCTGTATTTATGGGTAATGTTATTGCACTTTTATCATTCCCAGAGAAAGCTTCCACCTCTGCTCCCAACGGAAAACAGAGTTTTCTCAACTCTGGCTCTTGATGCGAGGGACAAGAAATACTATTTCTATTTAAGGAAGCCATAAAGCATAAGGCATTGTCATTCTTTGCTTTGTAAGCCTACAGGGAGTCTCTTAATTGGAGGGGCATACAAGCTTGATCAAATAATGAATATATTTTGCACAGGTCCAATATATATATGAATATATTTTGCACAGGCAAGGGATTTACACTTTCAGACAGCTTCTGGCAAGGTGCCTAGGAATTTTCTGTAGATTTAGTTCATTGACTCTGGGACCAAAAAGGAGAGAGTTTCGGAGTTTCAAAGGGACTAGGAACTTGAAGATTTCAATAAGGAGAGCTTGGGATGTCATATTTTCACACCTCTTTCAAGTTTTAGGGCAGGGCTTGAGAAGAGGTGACAGAGAATTTTCTGTAGATTTAGCTCAGATGACTCTGGGACCAAAAAGGAGAGTTGGAGTGGTTCAAAGGGACTAGGAACTGAAGAGTTTAAGAGTTTCAAAGGGCTAGGACTTGAAGATTTCTAGAGGATGTCATATTTTCACACCTCTTTCAAGTTTTAGGGCAGGGTTTGAGGAAGAGGTGACAGAGAATTTTCTGTAGATTTAGCTCAGTGACTCTGGAACCAAAAAGTAGAGAGTTTCGGAGTTTCAAAGGGACTAGGAACTTGATGATTTCAATAGAGGAGATCTTGGGATGTCATATTTTTATACCTTTCTCAAATTAGGGCAGGGCTCGAGAAGGGGAAGGCAGAAAGATGCACAACATGAATGGAGGCCTGTGTCAAATCCTTTGTCTCTCCCTGACCATCAAACCCCCCTCCCACACACACACACACACACACAAATGTGCGTGCGCACACACCTTTTTTCTGAACTGCAACCATCTTTGAAGTAACCTATGACGCCAGTAAATAAAAACAGAGATAAATATCAGGCCCACCAAACGTTTATACAAAAGCTAACCATCCCCGAAGCTTTATATAATCACCATCCAGCTGTGTGCTCTTGTAAAGTTGTTGTAAATCCCCCCCCTTTTTTTTTCTTGTAAACAGGAAAGTACATAATGTAAAGCAACGGGCTGGAGATCACAAATACACAGGCTCTTCTTGGGGAGGGGGCGTTGCTAAGTGTTCTCTTTCTAACGACGTTTGGGAGGGCTCCCCCATCCCTGAATGACCCCAGAATGGAGGTAATTACAAAAAAAAATAATAATAATCTGTCCTTAAATGCCATCAAAGGATACCTTCCCCTTCTCCCCACACAAAAGGTTTGGATTATAGGACAGGGCTAAATGTCAAACACATACGAGACCACTTTGCTGGAGTTTGCTCTGCAAGGAGGAGAGAAGGCTGGGTAGAAGAAACTACCTCCTGGGTGGCCATGATGGAAGCAGACAAGGCCACATGTCTTCTTCTTCAAGTTAGGAGAGGCTTGGTTGCCTTCAACAAAGACAGCAATCAAGACAGCCCTTGAAGATCATTGACTGACTGGATTTTAATTTTGTCCCCCATGCAAGGATTTGCATGGATCACTCCATGCAAGGATCATTCCATGCAGGAGTGTCCAACCTTGGCAACTTGTGAAGTCCAGATCTGTGGACTTCAACTCCCAGTGATGCTGGCTGGGGAATTCCTGGAGTTGAAGTCCACAGGTCTTAAAGTTGGATACCCCTGCACTTAGAACCAAATTTAGCTTTTCAACAACCTTAGGAGGTCATTCGACCCGAGGAGTCACTCAAAAGCCAAGTGAGAATACGAAGAGGGAGATCCTTCATTGCTCAGAACTTGGTTGCCTTTAAATGTTCTCCACCACAAGGCCTACCACACAGGGCCTACCACCTTTTCATGCTACCTTATTCTCACCTGACCTCCAAGGTGAAGTGGGCTTTCTGGGCATGTTTTTCAGAATTGTTCACCGTTCTTCAGCAGAATCTGTGATAGAGGTTAAACCTGAGTTTCCAATCTCAAGAGCTGGCCAAATTGAGAGGAGGAAGAGTATGATCCTAACATGCTATCTCCTGTGAGTAAAAGACACTCACAAAATGAAAAATGGATGGGCTACGGATGAGCTGCCAACTGGGGAATTCTGGGAGTTGAAGTCCGCACATTTTAAAAGGGGCCAAGTTTGAGAATTTACTGCATTTACCTGAAGACTTTAGCATTCATGAAAGTAGATTATTAGAAAAATCTCCCCAAAATGTGCTACTTGTCTTTTGTCTTACACCCATCGAAGGTGAAAACAATTCACTCTCTGGAGAGCGATTGCATTAAATGCAAAAATTAAACTAACATGACTTTGCATTCAGGCTGTTTCTGATGCTGTTCATGGTCTCCTTTACCAGTTTTGGAGTGAACCTTTTGTTTTACTTCTCCAAAGCCAGGGAGAGTGTACCTGTCTGGTAAAAAAAAATTGAAAAACCCTGAAAGGAATGTGAAAGGTGAAATCAGGCTCAGCTCCATTCAAAGCTGGAAGCAGAGTTGTTTCACTTCCAGGGCCATGGAATGACCAATTCGGATTTGTCAATACAGCTGATCCATGAAAATGCATGCGATAACAAAAGTGGTTAATTTTTGCAGGGATTTTGCAAATTCGCATCTGTATGGCTTGAATATAGACCCTGCCTCTGGTTACTAGAAGAAATAGTCTATTCAAAACAGGAAGCTTCACACTTTGTATATGGCATGCCATGCATGGTGTTTGCAGCTGACACACTCCAGATGCCAGCTGGGTAACTGTATGTGTATGTTGTGGGTGTGTGGAAAGGGAGGGAGGGAGGGAGGGAGGGAGAGAGAGAGAGAGAGAGAGAGAGAGAGAGAGAGAGAGAGAGAGAGTCAGCTGACAGAATGAGAAAGGAAGTGTCAGTTTGGTCTAGTAGTTAAGGTATCAGACTGGAAAGTGGGAGGCCATGAGTACTTTGGCCCAATCACCAGGAGACTGGAAGTTCTAGTCCCACTTTAGGTATGAAAGCTGGTTGAGTGACTTTGGACCATTGACCAGGAGACTGGGAGTTCTAGTCCTGCCTTAGGTATGAAAGTCAACTGTTTGACTTTGGGTCAGTCTCTCTCTCTCTCTCTGCCCACCCACCCACCCACCCACCCACCCACCCATTTTGGCCATATGCAATGCTCACCAAGAGAAGTTGCATGTTGGCAGCAGCCGACCTAAAGCAGGCCCAAGAATGAGACCAAAACGAGAATGCCCCAATGGCTAATTTAGAAGCAAAGTTGTGGAAGAGGAAAGGTGGAGATTGACTTGCTTGGAACTGGAAAAGACCCAGAGGAGACGGGGCCTTTGTGTGCATGAGCGCTAACACCTTTGGGGTTGGGTACCAGTGAGACATTTGGTGGGGTTTTCCCTGTGGAAATAAACAAAGCTATCTAAGTAATTAACTAACTCCGAGGACGGAGGGGGAGGGGAGATGACAAACAAGCAAATGACCATTGGAATAAGTGCAATTTCATTCCAGATAAAGGCATCCATCCAACTGCTAATTCAATAAGCGAGATGTGCTAGCAATTAACCCAGTTTATCCTGGCCAGGGAGGGGAATGGGAAATGGAAGAGAGATGATTTCCTGCCCCACCCCTCTCCTCCAGCTTTTAAAGACTGGATCTAGCCATTATTCCCTGAAAGTGAAAAAAAAAAATCCTTCCAAGCAACAAAACTGGGCATCCTTGGGATACAGCTGTGGATGTTGGTACCCACGAGGACTTCCACAGACTAAGACAGATGGCTGAAGAAGGTACTACTGTGGCCTGATGAGGCCTGGCACTGAGACAGGTATTCTTTTGGGAGGGGTTACAAGAGAAGGTTTTCAGAAAGTGGGGGGGCTGCTGGGTGAGAGATTATTTTGAACAGAAGATTGAGAGATTGTCCTGGGTATCTTCAAGAGGTTTGGCTTAAGGTACCAGCCTCTCCTGCCCTTTGCCATCAGGGTGGCTGTTGGGAAGGAAGGAAGGAAGGAAGGAAGGAAGGAAGGAAGGAAGGAAGGAAGGAAATGGGAAGGGAGGGAGGAAAGGAAAAGGAGGATGGATGGAGAGGGGAAGGGAAGAAAGAAGGAAATAGGAAGGAAGGAAGGAAGAGAGGGAGGGAGGGAGGGAGGCGGGGAAAGAGGAGGATGGATGGATGAATGAAGGGAGGGAGGGAGGAAGGAATCAAGGAAACGGGAAGGGAGGAAAGAAGGAAGAGAAAAGAGAGGAGGATGGATGGAGAGGAGGTGGAAGGAAGGAAGGACCTTACCCACGCGTCCTCCCGGCGCTAAACTGCGCCTCCGACTCCCTCTCTCCCTTCCAGCCTCCCAGGGCGGCGGGGCGCTGGAAGGACCCAGCCGGTGGGCGGTGCACGCGGAACGGAGTGGGGGGGTGGGGCGGGCGGGCGAAGGGAGGGCCCGGCCGAGGAGGCGGGTTGGACGTGAGATTTTCAAACATCAGATCGGTGCGTTTATATATTGGGTGCCCGGAAATTTTTCCAAATAAACACAGCTTGATTCGACTTGGGTGGTCAGACTTATCAACAGACTAATGCTATAAACAAATGAAGGGGCGCAAGCGGGGGGAGCCTCCCCCCCCCTCGGTCGCTCCGAGCCGAGCCACGTGGAAGGGCTGCAGCCTTCGCAGGGAAACGTTAATTAATGTGGGTGGGCTGAGGCGCGCTCCGCGGCTGTTTATCGCAGCCCGTTTCTTTTCCAGCCCTAAGTCAACACAGCATCGCAAACTTACAACAAGCATCGCACGTTTCCTCTGCCCCCCCTTCCTCCTCTTCTTCTTCTTCCTCCTCTTTTTTTTTCCTTGGGTTTTTTTTTTTCCTTCCCTCCCCACTTCTGGGGGGAAAAACGCGCGCTATGCAGCTGGGGCAGAAGGAGAGCAAGCGCGCCAGAGGCCAGGACGCGCCGTCGCCAGCGGGCCCAAGGCAGGCAGCTCCGGCCAGGCCTGGGGAGATCCCCCTTTTTCTTTGGACCTCGCTCCCGCGCGCCGGAGTGACTCCGGATCTGCCATGAGCCAGCTCTACCCCGGCCAGCTGCCCGCCCCGATGGTTTACCTCTACGGGGCCGAGCGGGGAGCCTTGTCGGGCGCGCTGGGCTTCGGCCCGGCGTCGGGGGTGCTGCCCAGGCAGGAGTCCCCGCAGAAGCCGCCCTACAGCTACATCGCGCTGATCGCCATGGCCATCCAGCAGGCGCCGGAGCAGAAAGTGACGCTCAACGGCATCTACCAGTTCATCATGGAGCGTTTCCCCTTCTACCACGACAACAAGCAAGGCTGGCAGAACTCCATCCGCCACAACCTCTCGCTCAACGAGTGCTTCGTCAAGGTGCCCCGCGAGAAGGGCCGCCCGGGCAAGGGCAGCTACTGGACGCTGGATCCCCGCTGCACCGACATGTTCGAGCACGGCAACTACCGACGGAGGAAGAGGAAAGCTCGCGGCGGCCCGCAGGCAGCGGACGAGGTCGGGCTCAACCGGGAAGGCGCCCCCGCAGAAGCCCCCAAGAGGCGCCTCTCCAACCCCCCCGGCGGCCAGCAGCAGCGCCCCCGCCTCCTCCTCCAGCCCGGCGCAGAGGAGGAGCTGAAGCCGAGTCCCGGCGGCCGGGAGCAAGAGGAGGAAGAGGAGGAGGAGGAAGAAGAGGAGGAGGAGGAAGAAGAGGAAGACGCGAGGAGGCGGCTGGTGGCCACGGCGGCTGGAGAGCGAGCCTCCAAGCCGTGCCCGATCGAGCCGCCCTTCCGGGGGTTCCCAGCTGGCTTCTCCCCGCCGCGCCCCGAGGATCGAGCGCCCAGCCTTGGAGAGGGTCCCGCCGCGCGCTTCTGGGCGCCCTCGGCCGCCAGGCTCCTCCAGAGTCCCGAGGCGCCCCCGCGGGCTGCTGTGCCGGCTGCCAACCGGGCAGACCCTCTCCGATCCCCGCGGGGCTCGGCCAAGCCTCGCAGCTTCAGCATCGAGAGCATCCTGGCGCGGAAGGTCCTGGCGGCGCCGGCCAAAGGCGAGCCCAGCGCGGCCGTCTCCAAACTGGACCAGCTGGTGGGCAGCGGCGGGCCCGGCGAGAGCAGCGAAGCGCGCCCGCCTTTCAACGCCTCGCTGGTGCTGGATTCCCACTTCCCGGGCCGGTTCTACCAGCTGGGCATCCCTTTCCTGTCCTACCTGCCCCTCCGCTTCCCGGAGACGGTTTTTCACTTCTAGAGCGCTGCAGCTCCGGCTTTGGCCCCGAAAGACGCATCCCGCCTAGCCAAGGTCCGTCTTCCCGCGAGTCCGCTGGAAGTGGGATTCCCACGTGCAAGCCCAACCCGTCACTTGCCAAGTTTTTCTTGATCTTCGAGACTTGAACCACCGTCCATTCGGCCCTGAATTTCGCAGTGACTCTGCTCGGGCTGGAAAGAGGCGACCCAACGGCTTTGCGGATCGCGCAGCCAAATCAGCCGGTTCGAGGCTTCTGGCTTTGCCGCCCGGGAATTTCTGGGCCTTTTGCCCACTTGCCTCGGAACTGCCTTCCGAGTATAGTAAACCTGCTTAAATCATGCGATCCTGGGGGGAAAGGCGGCTCGAGAGTGGATCCCGCGGGGAAGACAGTCAGTTTCCCCAAGTAAAGCGTAAACGGTAGAAGGAAGGACGATTCCAAATTCTCTAGGACGTTTGGATAGCTACAGCTTTCCCCATTTTTCGCCCTCCTATCTATGCATTGCTTTTTATTTGTTATTTTAGCGCCATTCCTGCGGTCTCTGACATTTGGAAGGGGCCCGACTGGATGATCTCTGGAATTAAAAAAAAATAGCGCTTTAATGCTATGGCTCTTTAAAAAGGAGGGCGGTTTGTTTGCAATGGAAACCTGTTACGAGCGAGGAAGAAGCCCTGATTTTATATATAGTGCAAAATCCGAACGTAGAGTCTTCTTTTTTTTGCAGAAGTTGAAGCTTTGGGACTCCTGGGGGTGAACTTTTCACACAGTTTCTCTCCCCCACTCCAGCTTTTGATTTGCAATTCGGATCAACAATGTGCCTTTGCTTTAGAGAGAAAACATCTGTTCCGGTGCCTTTTTCAAAAGCTGGCCCGGATCCTTAATATGACCCTCCTGGTTTATGCCCTTTAAGCCCCTGACCACATTAATGGATTTGCGATTCGGAGGGTAGCTTTACAATAATAGCAAGCCGTGCTCTTTTTTTTTTTAAAAAAAATATTTTATCTTAACTTACATAAAAAGCAATATCTTATTCTCGCTCTAAAAAAGAGGCTTTTTTTGGTATATGAGTTGACCTGTGTCTTTCACCTTTAAAAACAATAAAATAAACACCTATTTTCAAAAGGATTTGGTTGGCAAAAAAAGCCTACACGAATAAGCACTTTTGTTTATCTTTTGCCATTTTAGATCATTTCTTGAATCGGGAATGAGGGGAATAGAGAGAAGGGACAACTGGAGGAAAAAGGGATGGGCAGGGAATAACAAAGGGCAAAAATAGGCAAGGATAATGGTGGGAATCATGCAAATGTGGGCCCATATATAGTAGTGGCCAAATTTGTGGAAACCTTTTGGGAAAAGTGTATTTTTGAGGTTTGATGGCTAATAACACCACCTTTTTTTGGAGTTTCAAGATAATCCTAATCCACTGCTGGAATGGCCTGGGAATCCCAACTGAAAATCTATGGAGCCGACTAAAGAAACTTGTTAGTCACAGAAGTGACCCAGCAATAAAACCCAGTTAATAGAAGCCACCATTCCATCTTGGTTTCACATGATAACAGCTGCAGAACTCAAAGACTTGGTTCACTCCATGGGAAGACGTTGTAAGGCCGTCATTCATGCTAAAGGTTACCCAACTAAGTATTAACTGACATGGGGATAGTTTTTGTATATCTCATTTTTTTCTATGGTGATAGTTTTTAAATATATATTTCGTTTTTTCTACGTGTTTCACTTTTCTTCTTTATACTATAACTGCTATTCTAATAGCAGATCCTTCATAGAAGTTATTGCATTATGTTTTTGATTAAATTATCTTTCCATTGATATATAATTTTATGGTACTATTCCAAAAAAAAAAAAAAAGTGGTGTTATTAGCCAGTTTTAGAAAATACACTTTTCCCAAAAGGTTTCCACAATTTTGGCCATTTCTGTATAGGCTAGTTGGCTCTGTTCTCAGGACCCCACCTTTACTGCTGCTTCAAGTTGATAGTCCTCGTGGTTTTAGGAGGGCTTGGTCACTGGTTCCTGGAGGACTGACAGCCTAGGAGAGAGGAAAGGTTTGCCACTTAGGGAACCACTCTCCCCCACCCCCCAATTCCATATTAAAGTCTCTTTCAAATAAGTCTTGATTAGTCTAGGTGACCAATGGGGCTTGGCTGTCCAGTTTTCTTGGCAACAAAGTGGAAGAATTTCCACTACTAACTTCTTTCAGGAAGTTTTTCTTAACTTTCCACTCTGACCTGGATGACCCTTCATCCAAGACCAATCAGATCTCAGCCTGCTTCATGCTTTGAGATCAACAGAGCTTTGCTAGGGGCTGCCATTCTAATTTAAATGTATAACCTATGATATCACATGGTCTTATTCTGTATGAGCCAGCCAATGTTTCAGTGCCCAATTTGCAAGCACCCTCTGGATGGAGTTGGCATTTCTCCTTCCCTTCTTACTCAACCCATAGCAGCAATGACAACCTGGTTTATCTTAACCAGGCAGCTTCGTCTGGGAAATTCCTGGGAGAGTTTGGTTTGCCACAAAGTAGGTATGAAAACCTCAAATGCACGACAGCTAAAATTCACCCAGAGTTCCTTCTGGCAGATGGATGGCCATATAAATTGGTTGAATAAATAAACCTAATTTGAAAAATGGCCTCCTAACCAAAATTCAGATCCATCCATCCATACATCCATCCATCCATCCATCCATCCATTTGTTTGCTTAAGCTGTCCCACTTCATATTCATAAACCTAGGCCTACAATTTGGCTCTTAACTTTTTTTCCTGTAATTCCAGAGGCTTCCAGATCCAACGCAGTCCTGTAACTCCTAGCTCAGACCATCAAAATAGTTTCCTGAAAGATTGGGGAACTCCTATGATATGTGTTTATTAAACTCACAACCTAATCCTATGCTGGCCATATTTGTCTCCAAGGGAAGAAGCTGCCAACATCTAAACATTTTTCTTCTCCTTCTCCTTCTCCTTCTCCTTCTCCTTCTCCTTCTCCTTCTCCTTCTCCTCCTTCTCCTTCTCCTTCTCCTTCTCCTCCTCCTCCTCCTCCTCCTCCTGTCTCCTTCTTCTTCCCCGTCTCCTTCTTTCCTTCTTTTCTTTTTCCCATCATTTTTCTCTCCTCCTGTCTCCTTCTCTTCCTCCTCCTGTCTCCTCCCCCTTCCCCTTCTTTCCTCCTTTCCTTTTCCCATTATTTTTTCCTCCTCCTCCTCCTCCTCCTCCTCCTCCTCCTCCTCCTCCTCCTCCATTTCATCCACCTCTGAAGGTCCTTGGCTCCACTACCTCTGATTAGCAGAGAACAGCATAGCTCAAAAGAGATGAAATGAGGCTGTTTCCTCACCAATGATTTCTTCCTGAGTCATCCAGCCACTTCTCTGTCCTTTTGACAGCCGAAGTACCACAGTGATGGCCATGGTCAGATCACATTAAAAGTTGTTATACATTGCTAGGAAGGAAGCAACCTAACCATAGGCTATGTTTTACGAAGTCTTCCCATCTGCTGCCTGATGATAGAGCAGCCATGAGAAAAGGTTGCTACTTCAAGGATCGTCCATCACTCCTCCCATACCCTACGATGAAGAGCATGAGTCAGAGGTTGAGCCTATGTTCTGCTTGCCCACCCACCATGCAGGCAAAGGGGAGATCCCAGGGGACACATCTGCGTATGGAGGAACAGCTGGATTTGCAACCCAATCTCACCTTTCTTTCCTGCCATTCTCTGTATATAGACCTCAGCAATAGAGCCCACCTGTTTCTGCTACCTTTCCCTATTCTACAGGTGAGTAAGGGCATTTTCTTCCCGGGCATTTCCAAATGGCACTTACAGCAAAAAAAAAAAAAAAATATGGCCATGCAGAAGTGTTGGGTCCAATCTGATCTCTAGAAGACGGTTGACAGGTGGGTGATCTTTGAGGTGGCATTTTCAGAAAGAAACGGGTGGTGGGACATCTCTTGGTGATGCATGCAACATCTGGAGTTGCCAGAAAGTTGGACTCACTCTACAAAGAAAGCAGAAGAATTTACTGATGGGTTACTCCACATCTCTAAACAGTGGAAACTTGCTCTCTGTGTGTATGTGTGTTATAATGTTTGGTTTGGTTTCTGTGGTCACAAGGCCACTGAAAGTTTATTGTTGTTGCATATTTGTCTTGGTAAGATTTGTGTTTATTTACTAATATGCAGATTGAGTTGATTAGAAGCAGAGCTTGGCTAGCCCATCTGAAGCTTAGGAGACAACAAGACTCTAAGGTGTTTTAAGGACTCAGCATGTCCATGTTTCAAATGTCTTCTCCAAGCTCCTGGTGGATTAGGTGCCATCAAGTGGCTGTTGACTCTTAACAACCACACAGATAGATCTTCTTCAGGTGATCTTGAATTCAAGTTCCATGAAAAGGTATCACACATACGACAATACAAGGTGTCCTTAAATTTAACAAGAAGTTCCTTTACCAGAACTGAACTTGCTTCCTCTGTGGGGAAAACCACCTACCTCTTTAGAGTGAAAAACCATTCTCCTTTCTCCCAAAGCACCCTCTGAATGATGAAAAATACGGATGAAGGAAATTGTGTTCCTTTCCAAAGAAAAGGACCATCGTTTTTTTTCCCTGGGCATATGTCTTTTTTCCTTTCCACTCTTCATAAGTAAGATTTCTTACAAAAAATATTTTTCTATATTATCAGATTTGTGCAAACAGGCCAGGAATGAACCCCAAATCCACCTTTTCCCTTGAGAGCCTACTGGATGTTAGCCAGGCAGGTCATTTGATCTTATCCTAAAGAGCAAAAAGAGATAATCGGTGAGTAAGAAATGTTGCACAAAGGAAAATCTTATTACAGTTTGTTTTTCCTCCGCCTGTGGTCTCGACTGACTGTTCCTGCTAATCTACGTTGTTCCCACGTCTCAAATGCTCCATCCGGAGATATTGCTCAACGCTTTACCATCAACCAGATTGTGCTTTGAGGTATTGGAGAATTACAGATCTGCTTTAAGTGTAATTTAAAATATAATTTCCTACCTCTTAGGTTTTCTCCTTCCCTTGGATTAGAATACTGCGTATTGTGTGGTGTTGCCAAAACTCAAAATAAGGATGTATTATTGTATTTACATTGCTGGAATATGTTTGCAATATGTTCTTATTGCTAGTGTCCTTCCTTCCTTCCTTCCTTCCTTCCTTCCTTCCTTCCTTCCTTCCTTCCTTCCTTCCTTCTTCCTTCTTTCCCGTTCCCTCCCTTTCTTCCCTCCCTCCCTTTTCATCTACAAAAATTAAGTCTTATCTGGAAAAGAAAAAAACAGCATGTTCTTAATTTTAATACACGTAAAGAATTAAAAATGCACAGGCCGAATGCTACCTTAAAGTGTTTTGATTCCAGCTTTCCCACAATAAGCACCACTGGACGCATGCTGGGGTCTTTTTAAAAATAAAACCTCAGCTGTTTGTTTGGTCTATGAATGTGCTCTACTTTTGAAGAGGAGCAGCTGTACCCCCGTTGAAGACAAAGGACAGTTGGCGGTGGAGAAGCTTTGGACATGTGCAACAGCAGGAAGAAAGGCAAGATGGGAGGTCTCACCGGCCCCATGGCATCCTCGTTTTTCAGATGGGAAATGTTGGGTGTTGATTGTGGCTGGATTGTGCCTGATTATGAGGTCACAAACTGTGGTAACTTATCATCCTACAAAGGAGGTGAACGGATGTATCAGAAGGTTAGAGTTGGGACTACGGGAGAATGGCGGAGATCTTGGTTCCCATTTGACCATGGTAGTCCTTGGGTGACTTGGTTAATCACCACAACCATCCTAATCATCTCCAGAACTTTTCTGAGGATAAAATGGGTTTAAGAGTATGAGCTCAGAGTGAAATTGAAGTGAGGTGGAATATAAAGGTTAAGAAATGAGCAAGACTGAGAGGAAACTTCAGTAATTCATACAGTATTTTTGATCATTGGGTTAGGAAGGGATTGGAGAATGAAAATGGTCCAATCTCTTCCTGGTCTTGAAGATCATCATAATATGGAAGCAGAGTTGCTAACTAGAACACAGATCTCCAAAGGTGGCAACTTTAAAACTTGTGGACTTCAACACCCAGAATTCCCCAGCCAATTCTGAGAGTTGAAATCCACAAGTCTTAAAGTTGCCATGTTTGGAGACCTACTGTAGAAGACTAACCCAAAGGTGCTTTTTCAAGAAGCAACTGGACTTCCTTGTTTTTTTTTCCTTTGAAGACATTTTGCTTCTCATCCAAGGAGCTTCTTCAGCTCTGACTGGATAGAGGGGAATGGAAGGATTTATATCCCTTGGTGACAGTTGGTCATTTGCATCTTTTTAGAGGGTCATTGAAGAACTTGGAGGCTTATCTGTGTAGGAGACTAACATCTAGTTTCTAATACAAACAGTTACAGATCAATGTGAGCTGTCTAAGCTTGACAGCAAATTTTGATAGAGGATCAAAATTTCCTTTCACCGGTATAAGATTAAAGTCGCGTGGATTTTTCTGGCATATATTCCTTTGTTTCCATCAGATTACAAACCAGTGAGGCAAGTGCAAAGAAAAAAAGGAAACTTTGTGAATAGCATCCAGGCAAACACAGTTGACTTTTAATCCAGCTTCAATGCCCATTCAGCAAAGCATAAAGAATGTTTGTTTAAAAGATCATTGCTAAATTTAGCATGAGCTCACTCAGCCTAAATCTAAACGACATTTTTAGAGTGCACATTGCAAATCAGGAATGCGTGGAGAAATAAATAAACTTTCCCACATTTCTGGAAACCAGGTCAAAAAAAAATTTTTTTTTTCTGTTTTGTTTTGCGCAAGATACACTTTAATTTTTTTTCCTGTTTTTTTGCATACACCAGGAAAAATGGTGGAGAAACTTGGCATCAGATTGGCAGAACCAATGGGCAACGTTTGAAGGCTTTAATAATATGAAAATGGTATTTTAGTCTTCTGAACATTAAAACACAAGAAGCAATTATATGAGTTGCTTGCTGTAATTCCATGGTACTTTACTTAAGTATCATGTTTGTTTAATTTCTAAATCTTCCAATATTGTTGTTCTTGGACTATATGTTTGCATTTATACAGACAGGTGCAATAAACAGGTCTATACAGGTGAAATATGCAGGTAAATACAGGTGAAATATACAGATCTATACAGATGAAAAATACAGGTATATACAGGTGAAATATACAAATATATACAAGCATAGCACTGTGCGAGCTTCAACTTTATAGCACCTTTTTCTAAAAAATGCCGCACTTTCCCTTAAATTAAAAAAATAAGGCTGGAATTTTGCATAACTATAAATATTGTGTTCAGTTCCATATTTCCGGATTCTCAAATCACACAGATGCCTAGTTTTGTCACGTCTGAGTTCCATGCCTAATGTTGTATCCCAGCCTGGAAAACTGGGGACTCCATCCAACATCTTTTGTGAATCCAAGAAAGTGATTCCATCCAAGCCACTTCAACATGCAATCAGCAAAGGTTTGGAGCCCTCGCTTTTCTTTTCTTTTTTTAAAACATTTCTGTATCTGTTGAGATGAAGGAGAAGAAGACACAAGACATTCAACAGATTTCATGTCAGGCAACCACGGATTTCAAAGCACACACCTCCATTCTCTTCCCCACCCCCCACCCCCCAACGTCACCACAAATGGTCCAGAACATGCATGGAAATCAAGCAGCTACTCTGGAGAGACGTATTTTTAAGCACTCTTTCGCCAATAAAAATACTTCAAAAGAAAAATTGCTTTGCTCTTTTGGGGTGGGGGGAGAGAGAGAGGGAGGGAGGGAAGGAGAGAGAGAGGGAGAGGGAGAGGGAGAGGGAGAGAGAGAGCGCCAAAGAAAACAAGTGTCAAGATTTGCTTTGAAAGAAGCGAAAGGAGAAAGAGAAAAAGCACATGATGTTTTGTTTTGAAAAATGCAGATTTCCATGAAGGGAGGGAGGGGTGGATGGTGAAGGAGAGAAGGGGACTGGCCACATGAATGGAGTTAAGTAATTCCATTCACATTGGAGAGATAAAGTAAACTCTTAAATCTATGTATTATTCTGGCATAATAAATGGGATGGGATAGGGTGGAATAGAATAGAATAGAATAGAATAGAAGAGAAGAGAAGAGAAGAGAAGAGAAGAGAAGAGAAGAGAAGAGAATAACAGAGTTGGAAGGGACCTTGGAGGTCTTCTAGTCCAACCCCCTGCTTAGGCAGGAAAGCCTACACCACTTTGGACAAATGCTTATCCAACCTCTTCTTAAAAACTTCCAGTGTTGGAGCATTCGCAACTTCTGGAGGCAAGTTGTTCCACGGATTAATTATTCTGTCAGGAAATGTCTCCTTATTTCCAGGTTGAAAATCTCTTTGGTCAGCTTCCATCCATTATTCCTTGTCTGGCCTTTGGGTGCTTTGGAAAATAGGTTGACCCCCTCCTCTCTGTGGCAGCCCCTCAAATATTGGAAGACTGCTATCATGTCTTCCCTGGTCCTTCTCTTCCCTAGGATGAGCTATCTTGCAAAACTTTGCAAGCTACAGATTGACTCATCCCTATAGCCTCCTAAAATAGGAATATCCAATTATGGCACTTTTGAGACCTTTGGACTTCAACTCAGCTGCGATCGTCAGAGGCTTTTAAAAGCATTTTTTTTTCACAACCTCTTCGGCCGAAGAGGTTGTAGAAAAAATGGTTTTAAAAGTAAAAAAAAAAAAAAAAAAAAAAGTTGGCAACGCCCACCCAGTCACATTACCCACCACCAACAAGCCACACCCATAGAACCCGTAGTAACAAATTTTACATTTCACCATTTCTTCAGACGGTCACTAAATGAACGGTTGTAAGTCAAGGATTTCCTGTGATCATAAGAGAAGGTAGTAGAAAAGATGAATGGTAATACAAGCCGTACTCCATTGGCAAACATCTGTCCCCCATTTGAGGCCTTCATGGATGTGATGGGGAGCGTGTAAGGGTGTCCGGTGTTCCTACAATGCTCTCCTTCTTCCCCAGCAAACTTGGAAGGAAGGAAGCTGGGCTGAAGCCTGTGAAGGAAACCTCTTCACAAGCATGCATAAATTTGGTCTTCATGGAACCCAACCAAACCACACATTTGCATTCTTCTAAGTCAAACCAAAGGTTCCTTCCAGTGCCGCCTGGTTAAAGTTGTGGACTGTCCACCTCGTTTACTTGAGGTCAGCATGGAAGTGGTTTGCTGAGCCCTTCTTCTGGAGGTTGTTTTGACTTCCCAGGTTCTCCGGGACTCTGGTGGTTTTCTGTGGCCTCTTCTGAGTCCAGACAAGCCACCACATTATGAGACACTTAGAACTTTGTGCGACAAGGGCTGTTTTGTCCTTTTGATTGCACAATTTTGAGTACTCTTCAGCCCTTTGGGCCAGTGCACGGAGCAATGTCCGTGTTTTCCCAAGGAGAGGCAGCTTTGAGCTCCGTAGGGCTTATTTGAGAATATAAAATGACCGAGTAGACTAGTATTTCTCAACCTTGGCCAATTAAGCTGTGTGGAGCTCCCAGAATTCCCCAGTCAGCGTTGTTGGTTGGGGAATTCTGGAGTTGAAGTTCAAACAGCTGAAAACAGGTGAGGTTGAGAAGCACTGGGGTAGAGATAGAATGATTCTAACCAATGACTTCAAGAGTTGAAGCTTTCAGTTTCAAAACTTTTCTTTACCAATCCTGTGGTCTAGGAACATACATTTCAGGCAGAAGAAGGAAGAGGAGAAAACATTACAATTAATGTCAGCCTTGTGAGGTTTCACCGATGACGTAGAATGCTCTGTTCATCAGGGCAAAGCTTAAATGGAAATATTCAAGAGAAAACGGAGAGGGAGCTTCTGAGATCTGGAAATGGTTTTCCTTGTTTGCTTTATCATGGTTCCCGCAAATATACTGTGAAATATATCACAAAGAAGTGGGGATGTGCGTGTGTAACAATACAAATAAGGTTTAAATTTAAGGAATTAAGTTAGTAAATTGGAGACAGTGGGTAGAAGTTTGTATAATTGATGTTTCCTTCTTACAAAACAATTCCTTGACTGTAGAAATGTAGGAAAGCTGCAGAAAAATCCCTGATATGCTAGCTTTCTAGGTGCAGGGGTAAATCTTTTTATCACACCCTGGAGATGCCCATCCTTGTGACAGAGATATACGCGCCCATGACATCTGAGGGGCAGCCACAGAGAGGAAGGGGTCAACCTGTTTTCCAAAGCACCTGAAGGTCAGAAAAGGAAGAGTGGATGGAAACTGATCAAGGAGAGATTCAACCTGGAAATAAGGAGGAATTTTCTTACAGTGAGAACAATCAACCAATGGAACAGAAGCTGCCTACGGAAGTTGTGGGAGCTTCATCACTGGAGGCTTTCAAGAAGAGATTGGACTGCCATCTGTCATAAACGTCCTTTTTGTCCTCCGAATTCAACCCTAACCCTAAGTGGGTTTGTCCCCCCAATGGGATTTCCCCATGTATTCCACCAGGAAGCGTAGATGGGGGGGGGAAGAGGGGTACTCAAAAAGTCATCCCCCTCCTAACCATACCGATGGGCTATGAATCAAGGGGACCTAACCCTAACCCTAAGTGGGTTTGCTCCCGAATGGCTTTTTCCCATAGCGAGCATGGCATTCTGGGAGTTGAAGTCCAAAGGTCTCAAAAGTGCCATAATTGGATACTCCTATTTTAGGAGGCTATAGGGATGAGTCAATCTGTAGCTTGCAAAGTTTTGCAAGATAGCTCATCCCGAGCTTTGTACTATACCTGTGTGATTTCTGACTGTGAATGGTATGAGAAGTCCTACCAGAAGAGGCTGAAGCTAGTTCCCCTTCGACTTGATGAGTCCTTCCTGAGTTGAAATATCTGTTTCACTGCTGCAGGGAGTCACTCTTTAAAATTGCAGAGATAGAAATGGCTCTCCTTAAAAGCAGAAATTCTGCATTATACTGGCCTGTTCTTTAACCTTTGGAGACGTGCCCAGCTTCTGACAAACTCCAAAGATGTCTCGGTGGAGGAAATTCTACCCTGAAAGAAAGCATGTAAGCCTCTTCCTGTTGCTTTTCCTTCATTCTACAGCAGGGCTGTCCAATCTTGGCAACTTTAAGACTTGTGAACTTCAACTCCCAGAATTCCCCAGCCAGCATGGCAACTTTAAGACTTGTGGACTTCAACTCCCAGAATTCCTCAGCCAGCATGGCAACTTTAAGACTTGTGGACTTCAACTCCCATGCATTGGCTGAGGAATTCTGGGAGTTGAGGTCCACAAGTCTTAAAGTTGCCAAGGTTGGATATCCCTATTCTATTGCTTTCATACAATGTGTCTCTTTCGGCAAAGGACATTTCATTGCCTCTATCAAAGACTCAAAATTGTTGAATTCAAGAACGACAAATGAAATATTGCTTTGATAAGGGTCCAACCATCATATTAATGGCTTCAGGACAAAGAAGATGCCTTGCTGGAGTCCCACTCATCCTGCAAGACATCAAATTACCCCCAATGTCTATTGCCTCTTGCATCGTGTGGCATTGTGGGAAATTCAACTTCCCAGATTCTCTTGCTAGATGACTTCATAGTCAAGTTGCTCGGTAGATAGAGGATCGGGAAATATCAATGATGGAGATGTTTTTTAACATCTCTTCTTTTCCCTTCTGCTGGTTTAGCTGGGGTCAAGCTAAGTCCCACAAACCATCATAAATGCAAACCACAGTTTAGCACAAGAAGAACTCAGGTTGCCATCTCTCAGCTCCAGATACCTCACTGGGTTGTGAGAAGAAAGGGAAGAAGTAGGGAAGAAGGCAAAAGCTGCCATCTTGAGCTCCTGGAAAGGCAGTATGGAAGTATTAATATTAGCCATCATTAAAAAAAAATAGCAAACATATTTGCTAATGAAACATGAGCTTCTGTAGATAACTTAGCTGAACATTGTGGACAGGGTCAAAGGTCGTCCTATAGAGCACTCCTTGCAATAATCTAATCTGGACCT